GTCCGGCTGAGGTCCCAGCTGCTCGGCTGCCCACACCTTGTGGCTCGCCCGCTCCCCAGAAGAGCCCTGGGATCTCCTGGCAGCTCCCTTCTGGCCCTTGCCAAGCTGCCCCCGCCTGCCCGGTGAGGCTCTGCCCCCGGGACCTGCAGGGCCGGTTTCCAGTCCCTGCTGCACCCACCTCTCCAGGCAGTTTCACCAGGCAGCGTCCACTGGCTCCCCGGACTCATTCAGGGGCCGTGGGTGCTGGCCAGCGTGCTCTGCTGGGTGCCCCCCAGTGCGCTCGTTTCAAACCTTTACCCTCCACTGCTGTCCCTGTTTTCCTTTTTAGTTGTCCCAAGCCATCAGTGATGTACCCATAGTGGCCTCCCTCCTCAAGGGGTACATACAGCTTTCCTTGGCAGGCTTTGGCCCGCATCCTGGATCGGCATGTCAAAATGCCTGTCTGCTTTGAGGGACCATGGGGTCTCACTTCCCCACGCTGCACCCCACCACAAGCACCGTACCTAGACTCCTGGTGGCCCCGGACATGCTTTAAGTATCAGGCCCTCCTTCACCAGAGATAATGATAATAATAATTTTTAAATTACCATTTTCGGGCCCCCTTTCTGTCCAGGCCCTGGGCAGCCGCCTGGTTCACCCATGCCTGTGTCCAGCCCTGCCCAGCACAGCCCAATCCTGAAGGGTGTTCGGGTTTTTCCCTTAAACCAAGTGATGCCTTAAGTCCCATGACATCCCCATCGTACCCACACACCTTCATCTTGCATGGTTGCTGAGGGATGGCTGATGCTTGGCTCTTTCAGGTCAGTAGGATGCCAGATGACATTGCCAGGGTGGGATTAAAAAAGGCATGATGTGGGATTGAAACCACACAACCTCCACCCCCCCGTCCCATAGCCCTGGTCTCTCACAGTCTGTGCTACATTCCTGAGGTCAAGAAGCAGGGCAGTGCTGTTACCCTCCTTGTACAGACAGGGAGCTGAGACGCAGTGAATTGTTTGTGGTCGTACAGGTTACCTGTGGCAGAGCAGGGAATCATACCCAGGTGTCCCAAAAAACAGTGTAATCACTGGGCCCCCCTTTCTCCATCATGTCACCAACACCCATATCCCGGGTATGCCCGAGAAGTCTTTATAGGAGGACTTGAACCTGGAGTCAGCGCCCCAGGGATCTGGGTAGTGGAATAACCGTGGAGCAGTTACACAGTGAAGTCACCCCCCTCAGCAAGGACAGATGTTTGACCCTGAGATTACAAAGAGCATTTTGTGCATGGCAAAACTTGGCTGCTGAGTTGAGGATGGCTGTGTCAGTATCTGAGGAAGGGTCCGGACCCTGATCCCAGCCAGACTTATGTGGGTCTTGTTTCCTTTATAGAAGAACAGCCGAGAAGTGGTGGCCATCAAGTGCGTGAACAAGAGAAGCCTAAACAGGGCATCCGTAGAGAACCTGCTGACAGAGATCAAGATCCTGAAAACTATCCGCCACCCACATATCGTGGAGCTGAAGGACTTTCAGGTGGAGAGTAGCAGTGCACAGACTGGCTGGGGGTTCACAGGGGTGTGGGGGGCACTGGGGAGAAGGTCTTTCTGGTTTAATGGGTGACTATGGGACAGAAGGGTGGGTGTCCCCTTGCTGGCTTAAGCACAGTGCAGTGCCTCTGGCTTTCTTAGGGTATTAGTGCCCATGTGGAGAAGCAGGCATCCTCCAAGCAAATGCCTTCCACATAATGGTGACAGATCTGTTTTCCTCACACCTTGTGTGTCACGTTTTGGGTACGTGGCTAATACAGCCTCCAGGGGCGTGATGGACTCCGCCTGTCTTGCAGTGGGACAGCGACAACATCTACCTCATCATGGAGTTCTGTGCAGGGGGGGATCTGTCTCGTTTTATCCGGACACGGAGGATACTCTCGGAGAAGGTGGCACGGATCTTCCTGCAGCAGCTTGGTAGGTATGGAGACCCTGGCCCTCTCCCTTCTCCCCTCAGCCCCAGTGCTTTGGGGGTGATGGTATTGATACTTTAACTCAGGGGCAGGCAATTATTTTGGGCAGAGGGCCACTTACTGAGTTTTGGCAAGCCATCGAGGGTTGCATGACAGGTAGCCAGGGGCCGATAAATATTAATTTTCTAAATTTTTTAGGGGCCCCACAGGCCGGATAGAATGGCCTGGTGGGCTGCATCCAGCCCGGGGGCCGCATTTTGCCCACTCCTGCTTTAACGCCTTCACAGGGACAGGGACTTTTTGAATGGAATCATCCCATTCAAGCTGGAAGCTGGGCAGGGCACCAGAGCTAATATCTGTGCTCTCAAGATCTCTGCTATGAGGGGAGGTGGGGAACATCTGGATGAGGAGGGAAGGGATAGGTAAGGAGGGGTGACCTAGGTAGGAAGAAGGTGAGGCTCTTGAAGGAAGTGCAGCAAGTCTCAAAGGTGGTGGGCAGGGAGGCAGGAGGGCAGAAGATTAGTATGGGGTCCGACCCACCTGTCCCTCCCATCTCAGATGACGTGTGTTTGTCCCACCAGCATCTGCCCTGAAGTTCCTTCATGACAAGAACATCTCCCACCTGGACCTGAAGCCTCAAAACATCCTCCTCAGCTCCCTGGAGAATCCTCAGCTCAAACTGGCAGGTCAGGGGGCAGGGACACGGGAGTTTGCTTCACAGCTCAGACCTCTCTTCTGGGAACCACAGGGCTTGGGAAAAAAGAGGTGTCTGCCCCTCCACAACAAGCCCCCACAGCTGATGGGGAGTTGAGGGGCTATCACAAGGAGCCCCAGAGGTGCAGGTCTGGGAGATGATTCAGGGATCCCTGTGCATCTCCCTGTCTCTGCTCTGGTAAGAATCACGTCCTGTCCCTCTCCCCTCTTTCCCCTCCCTCCCCCCCAAATAACCTTTGGGATTTCTTGATCTTTATGGGTGTGGGTCTTACCCTGCTGTGTTCTCCTCCCCAGAGCTTGGCTGGAGCATCTTCATGTACATCCCCTGTACAACAACAATCCCCCAAGCAACAAAAAGGAATCCAGTCTTTCACTTAGCCCGAGGCCTCTTGCCAGTAAGGGTTCCAGTGGTCATTGTCTTTCCTGTATAACATAGATGTGGACAATTGGCCTCACACTCCCAATTCCTCCCACCCAGGCTGCTACATAGTAACAACTTTGAGCTTCAAACCAGCATCCTAGTGGCAAAAGCTTCAAAAGCTCAATGCAAATATACCGAGCTAATCAGCCAGCTTGCAACTAGTTAGCTTGTTCGAATGCGTTCTCCCCTGTCTCTTTGACTCCCCCTTTCTCCCTGCTTATACTCTCCACAGATTTTGGCTTTGCCCAGCACATGTCTCCATGGGATGAGAAACATGTTCTCCGGGGCTCCCCGCTCTACATGGCTCCTGAAATGGTGTGCAACCGGCAGTACGATGCTCGTGTGGACCTGTGGTCTGTGGGTGTGATTCTCTATGGTGGGTTACTTTGCTCCAGAGGAGGGAAGGGGGAGGGGACCAGGCTCTGTTCAGATGGGTGAGATTCTCTAGGTATGTGTAGGTAATAGAGATGCCCCCAGAGCCATGGATCTATCAGTATTGCCACTATAAACCCTGGAACCACTGCCATACAAACCATACATTCAATCCAAAAAAAGCCCCCTGATCTACTGAATCACTTGGATCAGTAGAACTGGGTAGATCAGTAGAACAGATGTTCAGAACTCAATTTGGGGTCTTCTCTCTCTCCCTTTAGCTATTTTTGTGGTCCTTTCAATAGCATACATGTTTGTAAATTATAACGTTCTCCCATTGGGCTATAGGAGAGGCCTATCTCTTCTGTTTTACAGATGGGGACTGAAACAAAGGCCGTAACCCTGACCAAGTTCAGTAGAGATTAAGCTCCTATATATCTAAGTTGGTGGGGGCCAATGTTTCCAGCAGGCATGCTAAAAATTAGCCCCACAACCTCCCTGAGTGCCACTCTGATTCCCTTCCCCTGCCCTATCTGCCACTGTGCTGCCTGTCCCCTCCCTGATATGCTGCATGGCACACACACAGGTCACCCATGCCACTTGTGGCACATGTGCCTCAGGCTGGCCATGCCTGGCCTAAGTGGTTTGCCAGTGGTCGTACATGGAGAGTGTGGCAGAACCAGGTCCAGTGTCTTAATCACAAGACCCACCCTTGGTCTCCGGGTCCTTGTGAGATGTTCTTCAGTTGTTCCTGTCACAGACTTTGGTATTTTCAGCCCTTGTGGGAACTTCCCCAAACTGCGTACACCAACCTCCTATGCACACCCATGTGCCCCCCTCTATAAGATGATCCCACCTCTGAGCTGTCTGTTTGCTCCGTCCCCTTGAGCAAAGCAGCAGCCTCTTTCCATGCTCTATATCTAACCAATGTTTGTTTCCTCTGCAGAGGCATTGTTCGGGAGACCACCTTTTGCCTCCAAATCATTTGCTGAGCTGGAGGAGAAAATCCGCAGCAACCGGACAATTGAGGTAATGCCAGCTTGCTTAGGGTACCTCTGAAGTGCATGGAGTGGGGGTAGGACTGAACCTGGCAAGCTTGAGTAGGTAAAATGAACTTGGAAGATGGATCCAATGCCAAGAAGTGATGATTCAGAGCAGGGCCGGCTAGGAGAACTCTAATTTTACTGAGGGCCCTGCACTGGAGCCAGAGCAGCGTGTGTGTACACCCTGGGGTATAGACAGCCCTGGTTGTTCTGGACTTGCTCCAGATTTGCTGCTGGCCTTGCTCTGACTGGGCACAGAAAGTGCAGTATTAGGACGGAAAGATGGGGCAGGGAATGAAGAATCAGCAGTCCCAGAGGGCTCTGGAAAGAGGAAATGGGGCAGATGCCCCTTGCAGAGCATTCTGAGGAGAGCAAGAAATGTCTAGACTAGCGATGCCCAACTCATTTGGACCTGCAGACCAGATGAGTGAATGTAGATCCTCGGGGATCCAAATTTGGTGCAGGCTGAGCAAGAGCAGTGTTAATTGCAGCAAGTAATGCTGTCACTGATCCCCCAGTGCCAAATGAGGACCCCTCTGGGCCAGATGACATGGCCAGAACTGACCCATCACTGTATCTTCATCACCTCTGGCCTAGACGCATGGGGAAAGGCACATAAACACTTGGTCCAGGCAGGAAGTGGCAAGAAAGGGACGTTGTTGGGTCAGATTTGGTTGTTAGTGTGAACGTGAGTGTGAGTATTTGTGCGTGGCTTGTATATTCTACCAAACATAAATGCAGGAGAAAAGCTGCTATTAAGCTTTAAAAAGCCCAGTAATTCCAGTGAAAAGAAGTTGTTTAGCAACAAGCAATCCCTTCCCCGCGGCGTCTATAACTGAAACTTCACAGTGCCAGATGGGTGCCTGGGGGCCTAGAAGGAAGTTGACAAGGAGCAAAACTGAAACTGAGTCCAAACAAAAGTAGAAGAGACTCCTCCAGTCATTGGCTGAGCAGAAGAAAATACGAAAGACTGCGCAAACTTTGAGAGCAAGGTCTTTCAAAGCCCTCTCAATTTGAAGCAGCTCAGGTGTTGGGTGTCACACAGATACGGAAACTTATTGTATAAAAATGCAACTTTAATCTGGTGGTGTCCACTGTTGCTAACCTCTGCATTGTAAACAAATGAGTCAAGCCCTTAGCAAAGCAAGATTGGCTTAATTCAAGAGATTTTTAAAATGATAAATGTTGACTCCCTGTTTTCGGTCTAGTTTCACTAATTTATACTATTGTTTCCAGAAACATGAGACCTAGAAAACTGTTATATTGAAACAAAGCCAAACTTGAAATTCTTGTGTACATCACCCGATTCCAGGAGCTGGCACTTTGACAGAGGCTGCCAGCTCCTGTCGCAGCAGTGTGTGCTTTCCTAGAGAGAAATCTCATAGACATTTCTACTTGTGGCCTCATTCAGGGCAGCAGTGCTGGAGCTAGAGTTGGCTGCATGCCTCACCTTGATGCTTCTGTGTTTAGTGCTTCACACATTACAGTGGCCCTGTTGCCTTCCTTATTGCTGCAGAAAGAGATCAACATCTGAAAGTAGACCCCATCTCGCCACCTGTAGTGTTAATAGATAGGAGGTCAAACCAAGAGCTCGCTCACAAGGAGGAGCAGAGCCCCTCTGGGAGAGGTAAATTAATCCCTCCGTCATTGTATGTCTCCGTAGTCAAGGTAACCAGCCGCACCAAGATCGAGATAGTATTGCTTTACCTTCCTGCGGCAGCTTTCATTTGGAGGGATTGCAAGGCACTTCATGGACCATTTAGTCAGGGATCATCTCATCCACTGCTATAATGCAGCCTCCTCTGGAGTGAAACCCAGTTCCTATTTAACAGCATGTGGAAACATCACCTGAGAGTTTCTGCTATAACTACTGAATCATTGGGCAGCTGTAATTTCAGACCCTGGCCCCCCTTCACTTCTATACTACTGCTTTGCCTCTTATGGCTACTGCCAGGCACAAAACCATTGGAAAGGGAGAGAGTGCTTTTGGGATGGGAGGGAGGGGACTAGGCCTGGCATATGGGCATCACAGCTCAGAGACAAACAGTGCCATGGGTTGGCCGGGGGGAGACCTGACCATCTGAATCTACATGGCATATATGATCTGCTTGGCTCTGCCTGAAACACTGGGCAAATCTGAGGTCAAGCAGGATCATGTTGGCAAACCTAAATGACCCATTAGTGCATAGTGCTGTCCTGCTTGGGCTCCAACTGGCAGGGGCTCGGGGTGCTGCAGAGCCTGCTTAGCCCCTGCAACTTCAGGGAGGGGGAAGGGAGTGTTGTTTGGCTCCTGGGGGTGAGTGGGGAGTGACTCAGGAGTCTGGGCTTTGGGGAGCCTGGTGTCTGCATCAGGCAGGGCCACAGCATGCCAATATCAAGGGTGAGATGCCCTGATTTGTGCCCTGTCTCTGATATTGGAGACCTTGGAGCGCCCATCCAGGGAGTGGTTGGTAAAGGTGATGCCCTTCTTGTGTGTGAACAGCCTGGGCATTAGAGGGGGAAAAAGAGAGGGGGGAAGAGAGTGGCTGGGAGATCTGGAGGGTTTTCAGAGTGGTGTCCAGTGAGCAGACCTCAGCCATGAGAAGGTAACAGAGGTTGAGCTGCCGATTGCATCTCTCTCTTCCCTCAGCTGCCCAGCCGGCCCTGGCTTTCCCAGGAGTGCCGGGATCTTCTGCAGCGCCTCCTGGAAAGGGACCCCCTGAAGCGCATCTCCTTCAAGGAGTTCTTCAGCCACCCATTCGTGGACATGGAGCACATGCCCAGCGCTGAGAGCCTGAGCAAAGCAGTGAGTGCACCAGGGTCTGAGAGACCATAAGGAGGGCATCTGGAAGGACTTGCCATGGTCAGGGGCCAGAAGGCACTGCTGTGGGGGACAGCTCACGGTGCTGAGAGTCTGGTGGAGCTCGTGCTGGGGGCATCTCTGAGGGGAGCTCACTGGGGAGTGGACTGGTATGCAGTCCTGGTCTCTGCACTGGTGCTTCACAGATCCCAGCCCTGCCCTCTCCTAACCCACTCTTCTCTCCTCTTCTCTCTGCCAGACTGCCCTGGTAGTGGAGGCTGTGAAGAAAGATCAGCAGGGAGATGCCTCTGCTGCCCTCTCTCTCTACTGCAAGGCCCTGGAGTATTTTGTCCCTGCTCTGCACTGTGAGTGATCAGTCCTGTTTCTCCACTTTTCCCTTGGGGCCATCAGCATGGCACAGGGGTCCCATGGGGACTCTGCCCAGAGCAGTCGCTGGAGACAGGCGCTCATTTGTGGAAGTTGTCATTAGTGCAGCCCTTGCTATAGAGTTGATCCCCACCAGAACCCTCTCCTTTGGGGACTTTCATTGCTGTCCTAGTTTGCCTGGTGGGAACAAGCTCACCCAGTCAGTAGGTGGGCTGCCAGGATAGGGTGGAGGTTGGCATGAGGATTTCATGGTTCTTCTTGAGAGATGGGCATAGCTGGAAGCAAGTAAAGCTAATGAGTCCATGGATCTCCCCTTCACCACCATCACCACTGTCACACCACTAGCTACAAAGCCTTGTCCAGCCCAGAAATGGATGGGCTCCCAAGCACCATGTGTGTGGGGATGGTTATGTTTTCAGTGACAACAAAACCAGGGGAGGCTTTGACTCAGTTGCTGACTGTGGTTGTCTTCTTCTTTTCTACAGATGAAACCGACGCTCGCAGAAAGGAAGCGATCAAGTCAAAGGTGTGTGTAAGACCCTGGTGGAAGAAAGATAGCCCAGCAGTTAGCCTGCTCTTCCTCTGGCTTCTTGGTGGCTTTGGGCATATTCCTTAGCTTCTCTTTGCTTCAGTTCCCTATCCTCAAATGGGTATAATAATGCTGCCCTAACTGATGGGGTTTGCAAGGATGAATGCTTTAGAGAATGTGAGGCGAGAATGTGAGCAGTATAAACTGCTGTGATGGGGACTGTGCCTTTCGTAAGTAGGACTCCCATACTGGGGAGAGGGTTCTGGGCAAGGATAAGGTTCAGACTGAAGGCCAAAGCAGTGGGGCAACCTTTATGGCAGGTGTGCCACAAGGTAAGCCCGTCACCCTCTCCAAGTATCACTCTGATCCCCTTTCCCCGGTCTGATCTGTTGCTCTGCTTCCTGCCCTATGCTCCTTGCCCAGTATGTTGCTTTGGCTTTCTGCTTCCTGCCTGGTTGGATATTCTTCTTTCCACTCCTTGCCCTATCTGTTGCTGCATTCTCTGCTCCCTCCCTGATCTGCCACGTACCACACACACAGGCTGCCCGTGCCACTTGTGGCTTGCATGTCATGGGTTGGCCACCCCTGGGCTAAAGCAGAGACATAAAGAGGGTCCAGTAATGAAGGGTGTTTGGTTTGGAGGAAGGGGAATTAAGGTGAGGGGAGAGGTGTGGGCAGCAGAGCAATGCACTCAACATTTTCTCATTAGCTGAAGCAGGGGGTGTTTTGGCTTGACATGGGGCCCCAAGGGTCAGGGGGACCCCATCAGGGGTCCAGTATCAGCGCTGTGTAGGCAATGATACCACAGTGCCCTGGTGAGATTTGTAAGCCCCGTGTCCTCTTGCTTTCTTTAGGTGAATCAATACATTTCGCGAGCGGAGGAGCTGAAGGTGCTGGTTGCATCCAACAACAAGACCCTCCTGCAGCAGGGCCACCCCACCAGGGATATCCTCAAAGGTAACACCCTGGAGTGGCAAAACCCTCTTACAGTCTTTGTGGTCTATGCCCCTTCCCTAAGATGTGCACAAGGGACCTTGTTTTGGGGCAAGAAATAACAAGCAGGCTGTCCCTTGTGCCCAGAATGGGAGAAGATGCTGACTCTGTCTTGGAAGGATGGAGGGCTGCTCTGCTTGCTGTGTCAGTACAATAGGTCCTGGTTTCTCTTCTCTAGACGGGTTTCCCCTCCAAGACTGACCTCCTGGGGCTCATGCTGCTCTTAAGTCCTCTCCCTTTCTTGTTACAGAAATGTCCAAGGACAAGCCTCGCCTGTATGCAGCGCTGGAGGTGGCGTCAGCAGCCATCGCTAAGGTGAGTCTGGGGGGACATGACTTGGAAGAAGCACAGTGCCAGGGTTGTTGCTGTCTCTCCTCCACTATCTGATGCATTGGGGTGGCCATGGAGATGAGAGGAGACATCCACAGACAGAGCTACACCCATCACAGGCAGAGAGGATGCTCCTTGGGGGGAATTAATGGTGTTCTGCTCCTGACTCACCAAGGTGCACAGCTTCAGGGGCTTGAGTAAGGGTAAAGGTATGTTGCTGTACTAAAGGGGGGCTGCCTTGCTCTCCTTGCTCTGCAGGTGGGGAAATGAGTACAAGGAGGTGGAAGTGACCCACAGCCCCCATCACCCAGCAGAACTGGGAGGAGAACCCAGGACTCCAGAGTTGCCATCCATCTAGCACACTGAGAAAGCAACCAGGCCGTGCACCTAGTGGGCAGGGTTAGACATGTACTCACATGCTTTGGCAAATTAGAACCCAAATGATCTAGGGCCAAGATTCTCAGCTAGGGGACCACAAGACCCTTTCAGGGGTGTAGTGGTGTGAGCACCACTGCCACCACAGCCATGTGAAGCTGTCCCATTTGCCTCATGTGGAGCCAGATTGGGAAGCAGCTGTGGCAGGTTATCTGATAATCCTAATGCAGACAGGAGCACCTGCTTTGGATGCAGCCTCTCCTTGTCCAACCAGGAGCACACTTCTCCCTGGGCAGCTGTACCTGGCAGTGGTGGCAACAGCTTGGGGAAACAAGAAATGCACAGATAAATCTCCAGGTGGCTGTGCTGCCGCTAGGTAGAACTGGGCTAGTTGGACCAAGAAGGGCTGTAGCAGGAACTGGTCTGGCTCTGCACAAGGTGCATGAGGCAATTTCACTTGGCAGTGGCAGCTCGCTGGTTGAGAATCACTGAGCTAAGCTGAGGCAGCACAACAGTGGTTCTCAGCCAAGGGTGCCTCCAAATTCAGAAAAGCTATGGAGAGAGAGGCCTTGAGTCTACACAGGTTGAGAACCATTGACCTAGAGAGGCTGCCTCCTACTTGACGTTGCAGGAAATGATTTCACAGCTGTACCAGGACAGTCTGACAGCAAGTGCTCCCAGGGTCTGTGCCCAGCTTTGCTGGTGGTGGGACCATGGGCAGGTCCCTGCACCTCCCCAGGGCTCATTCCCTCCTCCTGGGTATGTGACAGCTGATTTCCCCACTCACACCTTAAGCCCCTATGCATCTCCATTAAAGGAGCAGCCCTCCCGTTATTTCAGACATAGTTCCCATACAAAGCCTGGCAAATGCAGACGAAACAGGAGTGCAGAGGCTATGGGGAGGAGAAGCTTTCTCCCTCTGCTTCCTTGACAGATGGACTAGGGGACAGGACATGTATCTGCCTGCATTTAATCATCCTCACAGCCTAAATCAGTGTGTATCCATTATTTTTGCAGTCTGAAGAGACAGCGAGCAAGAGCTTAGTCTCTCCGTTCAGTGTTTCTACCCCAGAGCTCCAGTTTGCTCAAAGATGCAATTGTAATATGATGAGGGTGTCTGTCTAGTGGCAACCTCATGCTCCTTACTCATAGCTGCAGTAGCTCTCTGTTACCTCAAGTAGCAGAAGACTGAGTGTTTATTGCTGCAGGTCCCTTCTCTCATACCTATTTAGGACTTAGGAAGCCTGCATGTACCTGACCATTGCTTCACTGTGTCTCATGTTTCAGAGCTAGCTGCGTGTTGGCTTCTTTCTGTCTTTCTGCAGCCGTTTCAGGCATAAGGCCTCTTGCCTATACTGATGCTTTCAGTCAGCCTAGAGCACAGCACTCCACCCCAACCAGCTTAGCAGCTGCGAGTCTCCCTTTCAAGAGCCTACTCAGCGATGAAGGCAGTGGCATAGAAAGCTTTATCAAGGCAAATGATCCTGCTTGCGGGGTGGGAAGGCAAAGGGTTTGGTTCACAGTCTGCATAGCCATTTATCTAAAGCTTAGACATTCCTGACTTCTCTAGACATCACCACTTGTGAGGACCAAGATGATACTTTCTTTCCCAATGGTCCCTGTGTGTCCCTCTCCTGGATTCCAAGGGTCTGGTTTTTACCCACTCCAAAGCTTTTTTGTTTCATTTCTCTGCTTGAATTGCTCTCTTCCCTTTGGTCACACCAGGAGTGTTCAACTCTGTATGGATTAAAGTAAACAAAAAAAGCAGAGGCACTTGCCATGGCCTTTTATGTATCAGGAAATGGAGGACTATCAGAAAAGGGTCTCCGCTTCCTGCCTGAATTGACTTTCATAATCCTGTAATGCAGATGTAGATGGCATAAAGTATTCCGTAGCTGCCACACCCAAGTGACAGGCTAGGGCCCATGTTAGTGCATCTCTCTCTTTCTCAAATTCAGGAGACCTTGGTTGTTTCTTCAGCTATAATGCTGACACTGAGGGCACCCAGGATGTCTCCCTTCCCCTTGTCTATGCTTCAGTTTCCCCATCAGTAAAATAGGGATAATGGTATTGACTTCCTTTGTAATATGCTCTGAGATCTGCTGGTGAAAAGCACCATGGGTGAGCTGTGGATAGTAGTATAATGTTTTACTCTAGGGTGTCAAAGATATGGCCCATAGGTGGGATCCAGCCCATAGAGCTGCCTTGTCTAACGTAGAGGGTTCCCGACAGGGCTGGAAGTTGGGTGTCAGGGTGAGTGGTGGCAGCTTTCATTGCTGCAGACCAGATCCATGGATTCCTGGCGTTACCAGGAAGAGCTTGGCTTGGAGCTATGTCATCTGGTCTGCAGGGCTGAAAATTTGGTGGTAGCAGGAGCAACAGCTGCCACCGCTGTGAGAGCCACAGCAATGAATGCTGCCAAATTTCCAGGCACACTGTCCAGGTGACATGGCTCTAGATCCGGCCCATCACTTCTACCTGTACAGTGCCTGTGAGCCTGGAAGTAACCTCTTGGCATCTCTCTTCCAGGAGGAGGAGGGCAAGGACGACTGTGACACCCTTGACCTCTACCAGCAGAGTCTGGGAGAGCTACTGGTCATGTTGGCTGGTGAGTCCTGGCCTGCAGTGGGGTCCAGCTCTAGCAGAGACTGGCATTGCCAGGAGGGGCCTGGCACAGGTGGGACTTTGCCTGATAACAGACTGTGCACATTTCTAATGTGTCCTGTTCACTTCCTCCAGCAGAGCCTACGGGGAGGAGGAGAGAGCTGCTTCACGCCGAGGTACAGTGGCAGACTTGTTCCATCGCCCCTGAGGCAGGGTTTCAGTAACAGGCATCCTATGATTTGGCCTTTGCCTGGGGGCTCTGATCTCCCTTCCTCTAGAGCACAAATGAGTGACACTAGTGCCCCAAAAGCTACTGAGGGCTCTGTGCCAGTGGCCAATCTTGGAGCGGGTGGGAGTCTCCCATGGGGAGCATCAGAAATTCTGCTCCCAGGGGCAACATTTCGGCAGGTGGTGGACAGTGGGGTACGATCCTGCATGGACCTCTGGGGCTGGGCTAGGTCACGAGCCCAGAGTAACCCAGAAGCTGGGCAAGCAGAAGAGTCTCTGTGTCAGCAGGAGCCAGGGCAGGAGAGAGAGCAAAGAGCTCTCTTGTGCTCCTGCCTCCTGCCCTTCTACATCCTAAAACAGCTTCTTCAACCCCTTCATCCCAACAACCTGCTGTGGAGGCCCTGCCTCTGCATCTGCCTAGGAAAAGAGGGAGACACAGCCCACATGCACCTTGGGTTCTTCCAGTGGCTCGAATCTCACCAACCTTGGCACAGCTGCAGAGGACTGTGGGATAGGGTGGGTTGTCTGCCATTGTTTTTTACTTGCAGACTGACATTCTCTGCCCTGGATTATAATAAGCACTTGTTTATTATCATTATGTAGTGCTTTTTCTTCCAGTTTACACATGGGGAAGTGGAGATACAGAGAGGGGAAGTGACTGATGAACTTAGATTCTCCCAAGGCTCAGTCTCCCGAGGGCACCAAACTTGGCTCCCTGCCTCGGAGTGACACTCACACTAGGCAGTTAGGCTGGGCTGCCCCAGCTCCTGGGCTGGCATCTTGGTGCTGGTGGGAGCTCAGCTGTGTCTCCTCAGCATTGCGCTCAGCGATCAGTGACTGACTATGTCTCTGTCAGATTCAGACCCTGATGGGCCGGGCCGAATACTTGAAAGAACAGATCAAGGTACGGCAGGGTCATAGGGAGGGGGAGCTCAGGGCGTGGGGTTGTGACTGGAGCTACATGGTAAGAAGATGGCCGGGTAGGGGGGGGGTGATGTTATGTGGAGATGAAGGGATAATGAGGGCTCTCTGCTGGGTGTCTGGATTGGGGGATCTGGGAGTGGTCCTGGCCAGTGTGTGTAAGGAGAACGTCCCTCTATCTCTTCCAGATGAGGGAGGCGCAGTGGGAGGCACGGTCCATGGGCAAGGAGATGCTGTCGGATTCTGTCCGGACCTGTGAGTGTGATATTTGCTCCCTGCCCCCTGCTTCCAAGTCCCCTCTTAATGGCCGCTGCCTCCCCCCTGCCTGCAGTGCTCCCCTCCTACTATGCAGTATGCCCTGTGATGTCCAGTCCACCTGCTACCCTGCTGCTCTCAGCTCCCTTCCAGCTGTCTGCCCTTCTCTGCTTGCACATGGTTCCCTTCCCCTGCACTCTGCTCTGGGTGGTTTCTCTTTCCTGGTGTCCCTTCCCTTCACTGTCTCTAAGGCACCATGCACCCCTGCAGCACTGCTATTCATGCTAACCAACTGAGGACTGGTTAGTGGTCTAACTCCCCCAAATGATTTCAGTGTGTGTCCCTCTAACCTCTCCCACCTGCTCCCTTTGCTTCTGAAATTTCCCCTCTGGTGGGACCTTTGGCACTGGCAAAGGCAGAAGTATTCACAGATGGGAAAGGAGAAGACCCAGGTGTTGCCCCACTCCTTGCTGTATGGAATCAGAGGTGGTGAGAAGATGGTGGCTGTCACCTCTCTTCTACAGCACAGGAATCCTGCTCTTGAGGTTCAGGCCTCGGCATTGTTCCCCTCTAAGTGTGTTGGGGTGGATAAGGGAGAGCAGTTTTCTCCTCCCTGTTTGAATGGCATAGGAAAAAGTCCCTGTGCCCTTTGCCTTATAGCTTGGGAAAATCCTGAGGTAGCTGCTCATCTCTCTCCTTTGAGCTCAAGTTCTTAATTGGAGCAAATTACCCCCTTTTTCCCAGAAGCATTTAGCTTCTCATGGGGCAAAGGGTTGGCCTGAGGATCTCTTATTCATCCTTGAACACATGCAGGACAGTGGGTAAAGCAGGGGGCTGTCTGTCCAGCCTGCATGCCTCTCCCTCACTGAATAGATTGTGGAGGTCATGTGAGGCCATGTGAGTGGCAGGGCAGGGGTTTGAGGTGGGGCCATATAGGTGGTCTCAGAGGCCCAGGGAGGCACATTTTGAACCGAAGGAGACAAAGGTCTTGGCTCTGTGGTTGGCTGGCAGGGCTCATCTGCAAAGGACAGAGCTCCAGAGAATGTGGGGCAGGGAACGTGCCTGCACTGGCCCCTTGGGATGGACTAGAGGAGCCCTTGAGAGGGGGCTGTTGCAGTTCAGTGCTTCTTCCTCCCCAGGAGCTCTGGGAATAGGTTATGTGGAGCAGGACGCTTTTGGGATCTCAAGCAAGCCCAGACCAGGGAACATGCCATCCCTTTGAATATCTCTGGACATATTTAGCTTCCTGTGCACATGGTTCTGCACCAGCTGATCCAGCCCCTCTCAGGCTTGGTATGGGGCGGGTTGGAGCCCTTGGTAGGAGCTCTGCAGGCCTGATCTGGCCTGGCAGTGCCCAGTGAGATTGACACCCCTTATCTGGAGCACTCAGGCCACTGCTTACAGTAACTAGACTGTGGAAACATACTTTGGACAGTTCACATTGAATCGGGGGCAGTGATATTTTCCTGTCACCCATCCTCTTCTTGCACTCCTCATGTCACCCTTCCCCTTCCTGCTGTTTCTTCTTCCTTGCTTGCTGAAGAAGCCTGTTAAACTAACAGAGCAGAGTAACTTTTTGGCTGCAGGCTCTGTGTAGCCCGCAGCCTCCTCTCGCAGAAACAGATGGGGTAGGGGTAGGAGAGGATTTTGGGCTTTCCATGCTAAGAAGATGGGTAGGAAATGGAGGGCTCAGCCCATTGCTTCCTTCCCTGGAGGATGCCTTTTATAATGACGTTGATTTTAATCCTGCATCTTCTCTGGAATAAGCTCTTGAGTGCTGCCAAACTGAATGGGGATCTCACAGGCTTCTTCTACAGTGGGCAAGTTACCATGAACCCAACTCTTCTTTCAGCCACTGCAGGGATATCCCTGCCCATCAGGCTGGCCCAAGCAAAAGAGCCTACTGCCACCACCTCCTACTTCTCTTCCTGGGCACATCTGCCTGGAGACCTCAGGCCAAAGCCACTTGTCAGCTGACAGTGAGGCAGTCAGATAGCAATGTATGCTACAGCCTAGCACCCTTGGTGCAGAGGGATTCTTGTTATGTACCTTCCTGCAGTGGTAAGATCTCAAAACAGAGCACCAGAGCGTGTTGGGAAACTAGGGGTTGGGAATCTGATGTGGTCTTTCCCTTAACCCTGCAGTCACTGGAGATCCAAATCATTCAATCTCCAGCCCAGGCATGAAGTAATCAAAAGTACTTACTACCTGCTGGGTGGCTGGTATCTCAACATCTGAAGGAAGTTAGTTCCAGTCCTATTTTTAATAACCAGACTTTTCTGAGAGTCATGATGAGAAATTCCCAGTGAAGAAGTGGAAGCTGGAGCTATTATTAAAAAAAAAAAAAAAAAAAGCAGAGATCTCAATTGCCTTTTCTCTCATCTAGGCATAGAACAGGGCAAGGCATAAGAAGCCGGCACAGTATGAGTAGCACCCGTGCTGTAGATCAATAGCAAGCTGTGCCCTGCAGGGATGATGTTCAACACTCCTTAAAAAAAGCATCACTCAGCAGGAGAACGCAGTCATCCAGAAACCTCACCCGTTTATTTTTAGAAAAAGAAAGAGCAAGTTAGTAGGTCCAGGTCCTGCTCCTGCTTCCCCTGCCCTCCCCCAGTCAGATGCTTGGATTGGTTAATCACATCTCCAGACTGAGGTTTTTCTTTCTCCTGTTATTCTATGAAAGACTGGCAGGGAGGGGAGCTTGAGTGTACAGGGAAAAGCATGAAACTCCACATCCAAAGAGCTGGCAAAGGCACGGAGGGGGAAAGAAGATGTTGCTTCTCTCTGTTCTCCTATTATAGTCCTTGCAGGTGTCACTTGTAACAGGAGTAAGTAAAAGAATTTCCAACAAGAGCAAGGGGGCGGGGGGTTGTTTTGTTTTAAGTCAATGTACTTTTAAAATAATGGAAAGCATTGTACGGCTGACTCAAGGCTCATAGGAATCAATGGGATTTTTTTGTTTTAGTAATGTGGATTGATTTTGTGGAACTTCCTGTAGATTGTTTCCATGAAGGGAATAGAGAATCAGAGAAAATAAGGGTTGGAAGGGATCTCAGGAGCTCATCTAGTCCAACCCCCTCAAAGCAGGACCATCCCCAACTAGACCATTCCTGCCAGGGTTTTTTCGAGCCAGGCCTTAAAAACCTCAAAGGATAAAGATTCTACCACCTCTCTAAGTAACCCAGTCCAGTGCTTTGCCACCCTCCTAATAAGAAAGTTTTTCCTACTATCTAACCTGAACTTCCCTTGCTGCCGCTTGAGACCATTGCTACTTGTCATCTGCTGCCACTGAGAACAGTCTCACTCCATCCTCTTTCAAACCCCCCTCCAGGTAGTTGAAGGTTGCTATTAAATCCCCCCTCAGTCTTCTCTTCTGCAGACTAAATAAGCCTAGATCCCTCAGCCTCTCCACAGAAGTCATGAGCCCTGGCCCCCTAATTATTTTTCCTGCCCTCCACTGGACTGTCTCCAACTCGTCCACAACCTTTCTGTAGTGGAGGGCCCAAAACTGGACACAGGACTCCAGATGTGACCTCACCAGTACAGAACAGAGAAAAATAATCACTTCCTTTGATCTGCTATGCGACGCTTCTACTAATGCTGTCCAGTATGCTGTTAGCCGCCTTGGCAACAGGGCACGTTGTTAACTCATATCCAGCTTATTGTCTGCTGTAATCCCCACATCCTTTTCTGAAGTTAATGTATCAGTTAAGACCCTACTAATCCTAGGAAACTTGTGAGGAAAGGAAGTGGCAGCTGCTCACAGCAGCAACCATCCCTGGTAGTAGCTTTGCTCTCTCTCTGACAGCTTTGCTTTCTGCTTTTCGTTTACTCTCCACTTTGCTCTTTGAGGTCAGGAGAGGGGGCGAGAGGATGAGAAATGCAGGCAGGTACCAGGAATTCAGATGAATATTGGTCAGGCTGTGAAAGGACTATGACTGCCAAGTGCAGCTCCTCCCTTTGATGTGATCTTCTATCTGCTGTAGAAGACCAGGGGCTTCTGTCAGGCTCATTGCAGCCAGTGGGAGGACTCCCATTCACAGCAGTGGGCACTGGAGCAAACCCTGAGGATTTTATGGTGAGGTGGGCCAGGTCAGGATGAAAATTAACTGTAGCTTTATAGAAGGCAGGAAATGGCATGCTAGCAGCAGCTGTGCATTACCAACAATAACCTCCAAGAGGTTAGCATGGTAGCATCCCTCCCTGACAGCTTGTTAATATTGTGTTTAGTCCCATCATGCCTGAATGAATAAACTGCAGCCCCAACTCCTCCCAATAGCCTTTATTTAGTGTAAAGCTCTGAGGGCGTTCCAGATCAAACAAGTGTGTTAGGTGAGTGGGTTGGGACAGAAGGACAGGAAACAAGAACTGCCCTCACTTCACCAGACTCAGCACTGCATTAGATTGTGCTCTGGTTATACACATGCTTTGACCGCATGTTGCTACCAGCTCATGGTGAAGCTGGCTGTCCTCAGCCCTGATCAGCCACTACCTTCCTGACTGAACAGAGGAGGGGCATCTGCCAGGGCTGGGGAAATGATACAGCATGCCACTCTCCAGCCATTCACTAACCCCATTCCTCCATCGTCTCCTTTCCATGCATTAGTAAGGCGAGTACATGGGATAAGACTGGCTCTATGACAAGAACCATTCTTCAAGGAGCTGGGGTGGAGGCGAATTGACCCCTGCTGACTTCCTGCTCCTGAGGCAGGGGGCTGGACTCGATGATCTTCCAAGGTCCCTTCCAACCCTAATGTCTATGAAATCTAGGAATTTTAAAGAGAATTGCTTCTGGTTCCCAAGAGATCTCTCCATGTTCAAGAAAGTGGAAAAGAAAATAGAAAGACCATGCTGTTGTGGGAGGCATTGGTTATATACATTTTAATCTTTTTTTTCCACTGCCTTGCCAAAGTCCAACTCCTGAAGAAGGTTCTAAATTTTCTTTTTCAGGGCAGGACCTGTCACCTACTCTGTAGAGTACCTAAGGGGCCTCTCTATATTTGCTGGTTGTCATAGCAAACCCCCAGGCCTGCTGATCACTGATCACATGCCTGGTCTCAGCCATCTGTTTGTTCATATGGAGGTGTACCCTCAAGCTCTGGTCATGGAAAAAGTGCTTGGTGCTGTACAAATACAAAACAAAAACATGGTCCCAGGGAGGGAAGAGCTTACAAGCTAAATAATATAATATACTTCTATTTCTTCTCTTACACTCTCTATTTCCTCTGCCACAGCCTGTACTCTGCAGTAGTCCTCAAGTAAGTGTGGAATCAATACAGCACCCACAGGCGACAGATGTGGACAAACCTCTTCTCATTGGACTTCCCATTCAGGAATTGTGCACAAATATATCACCTTGTGATTGTCTTTAAACAGAGGCCCCCCCAGGTGATCTTAGACGCCTTATTTATAGAATACAGGTTTCTATCCAGACTCTCACTATATGCACTGTAACATGATTGTATGTTTGTACATATCTGTATATATGGCAAGAGAGAGAGAGAGAGTGTGTGTGTGTGTGTGTGTGTGTGTATATATATATATATATATATATATATATATATATATATATATGTATATTTGGGGGGAAAGAGGGAATACTTATAGTGTTAGCAAATGTGAAGTAAAGTGAATGTAAAAAGAGAGCATTAGTATTATAATGTGTAGGACTAAGCCCAGCAATGCGCATGACCCAGGGAATGGAGAAGAATTCCAAGATACTGGAAGCTTAAGGCTGATCATACAGCTGGGATGCTTTGATGGTATTTCTTTACAGGGACAGTGGCCTTTAGGACCCATGTGCTGTTGAGTGAAGCACTGGCAGGGGAACCCCATGCTGCCTTCCTTACTGATTCCCTCTGGTGCTTGCACCCTCTCAAGGGCATCTTCCTCGCAGGGTGATAGCGGATCTGTGGGGTCCATCTGCTCCAGTTTCTGTGTAGCTGCAGGATAGCATTAACACATTTCTGTATAAGCCCCAGTAGCTCCTTTCTGTCCTGAGGCAGACTCCCTGACCACAGCAGGCCACACTCTTATCTCAGCTATTTAAAAAGTGGGGCCAATAGTCCTTTCTCCTCACATGTTCTTACCTACTAGACCTTTCTCTAATCTTTTCTCTGCCTTGCTTGACAAAGTGTGGCCAGCAGGTGGCTCTCTGCCCACACTGTGAAGAAAGAGAAAAAAAGGCAGGTATGTGCATAATTTTATCTGCTTCCCTTTGACCCGATTCTGCATTGAGTCTGTTGTCTTGGCATCTTCCAAGCTGTCAGTGCATGCTGAGAGCACTCAGCAATTTACAGGATTGAGACCCATCACCTCTGAAGCAAAAAGCATTTGTGAGAGGCTGATCCAAACAGCCACTGAAATCTATGCCTTCATTGACTGCAGTGGGCTTTGGATCAGGCCTATAGTCCAGGTTGTAGATCCCAATGATCTTTGGTCTCAGCATAAACCACCCCAAAGCATCTTGCAGTAACTGAAGTTCAATTTATGGAATTTTAAAACCTGTAGTTTAATGCTTTGGATTTTTTTCTTTCTTTTATTTTTAAGAGCCTAATCTGACATTTTAGATAGCTCAGTGACTCATTTTTAAAATGTGTGGCCTTGATTGGAAATCAAGCCAGTAGTGTAGATGACTCTTGAAAGAATAGGAAATCAGACCAGGGTATACATGGAGTTGAGTAGGCAGGGGGTTGATCCTAAGCAGTAGGATCAAGTCCATAAAGTAGATGCTCACGTGAACAGCAGAGATGAGCTCAGGCTGTTATTTTATGCAGTGCAAAGCACTAAAATGCTGTGCTGTGATCCAGATGTGCCTTCACCCATGGAATAATTGCCTCCTGGCTCCTGTATTAGAGATCTCTCACAATACATCACCTTGCAGTGGAATTTTACTGAGTGCTTGAGTATCATGGACTTTTTTTTAAATAATCCCTCCCTACCCAGCACTCTCCCAGTCTGCAGCAATATTGTCCTGCAGAGAATCTAGGCAAACAAAGTGACCCAAGGAAGTCATTCTAACCTCACGAACACTGGACCTCCACCTGTGCCTTTTATTGTCTCCATGCTCACCAACTTGAATTGTATTCGACCTGAGTTTTGCGACCTAGATTTTTCAAGCTCCTTGACAATCCCAAACTCATGCTTGTCTGCTCTGAACCAAACTTTCTCCCATAGAGGCCATGAAAAGACTCCCAAAGAGATCAGAATTTGGCCTTGCTGCCCACCCCCGAGGTATTTACTTCAGGCTTTTCAGTGGTGAATTGTCTAGTCCTGATCCATCTGAAACATCAGTGCATCTAACCACTACTTTTTCCTTAGCTCTTGGTTTTGGAAATTTCTCTGTTGGAGGTGCTGCAACCCATCAGAGCCCCTGAAGTTCTTAGGCCATGTTTGCATTAGGAATCAATCTAATGTAGCCCCTAACAAAGATGTGCCAGTAGAAATGTCATTTTGCACCTGACCTATCATAGGGACATGGTATACCTGTTTGAATACTTTCCTCTAGACATGGCCTTGGAGATGCATATTCCTTCCATTCAGCCCACATCAAAGAATGGACTGACAAATGTCACCTACCCTGAGAACACCAAAGTACTTTACACCTAATTCATCTCTTCCTCTGAACTTCCCAGTTTGTATTTTTCATTATGATTTGGTTTTGTCTGTTCAGCTCTGTGCAGAAAGCTGGAGCAATGGGCAAGCTTCTGAGAGCCCAGGGTCTTCTCTACCTGTGTGCATTGGTCATTTTAAACTGAGGCAGGAAACATGTATTTTAGCAGCTGCTTGCTAAGAGGCATTCCTCAGCTCCTGCACCTCACACAGCTAAGAGGTCCTCTCTAAGTCTGCAGTTTAATGAAATATGTAATTTATTGTTGTCTTTAATAAATAATCTTCCAAATCTTCTAGTCCTTATTTCAATGAGGGGCTCAAATATGGAACCATCCTTTACCCACCTGGGCACAGAAAAAGTATTACAGTTTGCAAGTGGAGAACTGTCTGGGACCTTTTGTCTATGCTCACTCCCCCCTCTGCCATCAAGGGTGTTATGGCAGATCTATGTAGCACCTGGACCGGCAGAATACAAAGTACCCCCTTGGAAAGGTACCTAGCTGCTGAAGGGACCACAACAGCCAACGGATGGGGGCGGGGGGGGGGTCCACATGTGCCTTCTGCCATACAGCAGGAGAGGCATCCAGCCCTGGTCTACGTTACAAGTCTTCTACTGGCAGATACCTGCTCTGACAGCATAGCTGCCAGTGCATGCCTGTCCACATGACTTTTGCCAGCTGCACTCCCAGCAGAAAGTGTGAGCATGTGCTGTTCTGCAGACCTCAAAGGTGGTTTAACCCCACCAGCAGAAATAACTTGGCCACCTTGAAGGAGCTGTGAGCATGAATGCAGAATGCTGCCACCAAAGCTTTGTAGTATGGACTACACCACAACGCTTAGTTCCTATGTAAACCAAAGAGCCACCTAGGTTTACATGGGAACAGAGTGGCAACCACACTAGTCTGCTCCTAGAACTGACCCAGATGCAAAGTTGAAACAATACCCTCCTGGTCCTAGATTGCCTCAAGAAAAGCCCTACTGGGGGAGCTTCCAAACCTGAAGTTAGCCCTCTGCTCTCTTCTACCTTCCTAAATCTTGGGAGTTCTCAGATCAAGACAAACCAGCATTTTAGCTTTGCCAGAAAAGTTAATAAAGCACAAAAAACTCAAGCTTCCAAAATTGCACAAAAATACATTTTTTTAATTGAATTAAAAAAAAAAGCGGCAACTTAACTCAGGTTGGATCCCTGCTTTCTGTTCAAAATGTGTGCAGAAAGAAAAAATTTGCAAGCCATGTGTATATTCATAAAGCTTGGTCCAACGCTGTTTGCATGCAAGAATTTATGGAAATCCAAGTAGAGGCTTAAAGGCAGAGAATCACTGAAATGGTAGAGTAGATCCTTGAAGTAGAACAGATCCCCCCTATACTTCCTCGTATCGGCCAGATCAAGTCCTCTAGAGCAGAGATTCCCAAATTTTTTCTTATCACGTACCCCCTTCTAGATTTACCAGCTGTCTGTACCCCTACCAGCGTACATTTTATATTTGAGCCCCTTAAATGCTAATCATTAATTATAATAAAAATTAAATCAGCCATTACACAATTTTTGTCCTACATACCCCACAGAGATGTCTTGTGTACCCTCTGAGCTAAGATCCACTTTGCCCTGTGCCCTTGGGAGCCTGATTGGAACAAGCCAGCACAGCCTCAGCATGGCTTGATGCAGAGCGAGCAGCAGAATGGACCCCCCCCCCAGCCCAATGCACTGTTGCCCTGGTCCTGGCGCAGTTGTTTTTATGTCAGTGCCAAGTGTTGGCACAGTGCCACCGTATCAGAACAGGGGAGCGGTGGGGGACCATAGGGTGGGCAGCGACGGGCATAGGTGGGCTGGCACAACAGTCTTGCAACTTTGTTTTGGCTGAGGGGCAAGTAGGTTTTGTGCTGGGCTGACAACAAGCTGTGCAGGAGGACGGCAAGAGGGCTGGGTTTATGGGCAGAGATGAGGCAGCTCAAAAAACAAGTGGTGGATGTGGAGAGGCAGGAGGGGATTCAAGGAGGAATGTGAGGGCTGTAGCACTCTGGTGGTTCAGCACCTCTGTAGCAAGGGTTACTTTGCAGGGAAAGCAGAAAGGATGGCAGTGGCCAGGCATTTGAGGGAGAGGGAGAAGAAGGGGGCACAGAAGGGAAGCCAGGGATTGGGCATGGGTTTTAATCACTGAAAGAAAAGGGGCGAATAGCATTTTCTGGGCTGGCTCATTCCTTTTGTCTTCCCAGGGCCATGCAGCAAGCTGGTGCCTTTATGGCAGATAAGATTGTTCACACCTTGCAGCCTGTCAATAGAAGCCTTTTTCAGATGGCCTCTATTTTACTGCCAAGGCCTTTACAAAGCACACTTGAGAACCTGCAGAGCAGTGCTGTTCACCCATTCCCACCAGCTACTGAAATGGAAAGGAATCCGATTTCCCCATCCTCTGGGGTTTCAGGAGGCAGAGGAGGGAGAGCCTAGGCAGCCTCCAGGATTTTTGTCAGCTGCACAATGACACAAAACCTCTAGGAGATCCCCCAGAGTGTGCAGAAGGGAGGAGAGAGGAATAAAGATGGATTCCAGAAAGAAGCCTCTCCCATAGCTGTGCCCTGCTGAGGACAAAGGGCCGGATCCTGTGAGGTCCTGAGCACTTTCCAGCTGGATCCCAAGAGGCTCTGAAGGCATTGGTGAGCTGTTAGTAGATTGTACTTTGTTTAATAAGCAGGGTCCACGCTGAAGACCTGCATGCTGGAACTGTTAATGCACTACCTTGGGGACACATGGTACTCAGCACAGAGTAGCCCACAGTGTATACAGCGAGTGTTGCTTTGAACGCTGTGCAGTTGTGTTTAACCTGCAACCATCCAATACAGATAGTAAAGCAGAAGGTTGATACGGAGGCTGTAATGCATAAAAGGGTTTGATTTTAGTGCTTCAGTTAACAGGCTA